CCCGCGCTTGCTCTGTTGGCTTGCACTGCAGCGTATGCCTTCGAGTTCCGCTTACTTGACCAAGATACAGCACGCCGTTTTGTCGCCTTGAACCATTTGTCGAAATGTTTGCGAAGTAGAGGCATATGCAACGCTGCAGCACCTGACAACTGCGCGCTGTGGCGCGATCCCTTCGCAAACGCCGACGGCTCAACGTCGCGGCTTGAATGTGCCTATGACATGCCTTCGTAGTCTATCTGCTAAGCTGTTGTCAGTTGCCAACGCCCTTTTTCAAGCGCAGAGATGTGTTGCCGCGAATCATTTTTCCGAATGCCTGCGAAACCCTAGCACCTAGTATAATGGGCTGAACGTTTACCGAATCGAAAATTCGGCGCCGAATCTAAGGATTCGGCAAAACCGAATTTTTTCCGAATTTTTCTAAAGATTCGGCAAAAATACATGTTACCAGGCCTAAAAGTTGATATATCGCTTTATCGTGCAAAGAAAGTTTCTTTTTAAACGCATATTGACGCAGTTATTACTAAATAAGGTGATATCCTACAAAATCAATGTATCCGTGCCATTTTTGTATATTTACTGATAATTTTAAAGTGACTTTGTACAGAAGATGTGTGACAACGGAGTTGGGTAGCAGCGGGCGCAGTCTCGATACACACGTGTTTCGGTTTTGAGGCCTTATCTGTGCAAACCTGCAAGTGTGTGTTATTGAAAAAAAAAGGCAGTAACACTGTGTTCTATATTTCCTCTGGGAGTCACCGTTTAGTGCGCGAAAATGGATGCAACGGCTGATGAGCCTTCACCAGAAGAGATAACCATATTATTGTAAATATGCATGTTCTTCGATTTGAGTCACTTGATGCCATTTTGCATGAAAGTGTACGTCCCATATTCGCAACGTCTCGTTTTTAACTTTTAAAATGCCGGTTTCTGATGTTAGGACACACTGGACATTTAGAAATGTGGGAAGAGTGAGGAATGTCAGATGTGCAACGTGCATGATAGTTTTGTGTTTAGTTTTATGCGGAAAGATGAAACTGTGAAATAACGCTAATTGAAAGCAATATTATTTTGTTCTGTCACAAACTACTCGTGAGCCGAAAACAGGATTGCTAGAATGGCGAGGAGTGCTTTAAAGTACTTGTCAGTCAATGTACAACTACCTCGTTGCATCACTGGAAAGATCAAATAAAAACCACGTTATCCCGAATGTACCGCATAATTTGTCACTTGCGCAGTGGACTGCGGCATTTTTGCGACCATTTCTGGTCGATCTTTTGTTTTTGAGGCAGAGAATATTGAAGAGAACCACACTCACAAAGGCGGACAAAGACGCAGTTACCACATCGCCTACTCCGTACCTCGCCGTAACCGCTGGTAGTTGTAGACTGTACGATGGTAACCGCACAAATGCACGGCGTCCATTTGCAATCCTTGGCCCCGTCGCGTTCTTGCGCGTGCGCAGATGTTTGCCAAATTTTTGCCGAATCTTTGCCAAACTTTCCCTCAAAAGTTCGGCATTTGCTGAACTTTGCCGACTGAAGTTCGGCAGATTCGGTCCATCACTAGTAACACCGTTCGTCATATCCAACGCTGCAGTGCCTGACAAACTGCACGCAGCGGCGTGAGCTCTTCTTAAGCGCCGGCGGCCCAACGTCGTGGTTTGTATGCGCTTATGGTATATATACCTTCTTAATCTATCTGCTAAGCGGTTGTCAGTTGCAAAAACCCTTTTTCAAGTGCAGAAATGTGCTGTCACCCAGGCAATTATCTTGAAACTCGTAGTTCCTTCGATAATTTTATTTCTCTAGTCAAGATGTCAGCTCAAGGTATTTTATTTTGTTTGGTCACCTTCAGCAGCAGCATGCCCGGTGGTACAGCTTTCTGTGTACCAGACTGTGCAAACAATACTGCCAGCGCACAGCATGTTTCCTGGCACCGCTTTCGAAAAGACAGCGTCCTGCGAAGCGTTTGGGTGAAGACAACTGCGTGCTGTTGTCAGGCGCCGCAGCTTTGGATATGCTGAACGGTGTTACGGCTTTGCAGGTATTCGGACAAATGATTCGCGGCAACACATCTCTGCACTTGAAAAAGGGCGTTGGCAACTGACAACAGCTTAGCAGTTAGATTACGAAGACATGCCATAGGCGCATTCAAGCCGCGACGTTGAGCCGTCGACGTTTGCGAACGGATCACGCCGCAGCGTTGCATATGCCTCAACTTCGCAAACATTCGGACAATTGGTTCATGGCGACAAAGCGGCGTGCTGTATCTTGGTCAAGTAAGCGGAACTCGAAGGCATACGCTGCAGTGCGAGTCAACGGAGCAAGCGCGCGCGGCCAAATCACAGTGCACTTGGCTCTCGCGTCGCGATTGTTGATTCAGAGCTCTGCCTACTCATATGACATGTGCGCGATTGTTCATAAACGGCTCCTCTTGACTGCACGCGGGTCAAATGAAGAGCTAACAGCGCGATAGGAATCGGTAGCAACGGTAGTACTCACCCGGGGACCGACGCGTGAAGCGGCGTGTTGACCGTCGGCACTCCTGTCAAAAAAGGCAAAATAAAGACACAAATACTGTATATATTCAAGAAATATCGCACACAGACGAAAAGAGAAACACTTAGAAGGAATAAAAAATACACTGGAATAGATAAAAATAGGTATTAGAATCAAAAACAGGATTAAGAGGAGACAAGCGACAAGGCAATGCAATCTCAAGGCAGAGTGGCCAGGTGAGGGACAGTTTCTCCCACAATTCCTCGCGTGCGGGCCGGGGCGCTTGGGAAAATTGCAAATCGTCTATTTGGAGGAGTCTGAGCTTTCATCAATGTACAGCCGGGATCACAAACACGCGGCCCACGTGCATCCGGCGGTAGCAAGTTGCGAGCCCCCATCCCCATGTCTTGAGCGCCACATATGCCATAAATAGCAGTTTCATATCATCAATTCATTTCTGCTTGAAAAGGGGGTCTGCTCATATAACGTGTTCAGATATTATACACTATTCTGTTTTCTCTTGAACAGAGTATTGCTTCGTCTAAACATTTGCTTCTCGGCTTTTTCTCATGTAGATCAACCGGAACGACAATACGACTATACTAGGCTAGAAGCGCGAGCTTTCAGCAAAGAGGCACCTCGGCTGCATGAACTCTCGCTCAGCAGGAGCAACTGCCGAAGATGAAGCTATATGTTTGGGCTTCTGGTCGTCAGAAAATACCTTTAAAATGTCAGTATTTCTTAAGTGATGCTATAAAAATTGTCTGTAAAGTAAAAACTGTCCTATGAAGAGATATTTGCTTCCATGACTGGTGAGCCTAGGGAATTGTGCGACAGGGCAACGACAGTGTGATTCCCCTTGTTCTATAGAAAACTGCCAGCACATTGGCGTTTTAAATTTTTGTTACATCAGTTGTGGGCCCAAAGTAGACGTATGTGCAAATGAAAGCATAAGGTGTCACTGGCAAAACGGCAAGCTTACAAAGAGCAGAGAGCACAATGTCCCTGCTCTAGGAAATCCCTGAATGTGTTGCTGGGAGAGTTGGCTGCTTTCCAACATGAAACAGCATTGCAGTTTTTTTTTTTTTTCGCTCAAAATATTGCCTCCCCTTTCCGGTTGGCCCTCAATCTTTTGGAGGGGGTCTATCTGGCCCCCACACTAAAATGAGTTTGAGACCCCGATATACAGGGTGTCCCAAACAACTTGCACCAAACTTTAAAAAAAAATGGACTGCTTTACAGGAGTGAAACTATGTTTGCAAATGTCTTTTGAAATTGCACACAAACTGCAAACTTCCAATTAAGGTGTTTTGCTAGACAATATGCTTTGCACACTTCTTTTTAGCCTAAAAAGGCTTCTGAATGATAAAAAAGAAAGACCATGTGACAATGTGTGTCGCACTTGCAACGCTCTCAGATGTGCTCTGAGAGAACGAAGTCCACCTTATCAATGGGACAGGGCTTCCTGTTGGTGTAGGCCCCAAAGATATGCGAGAGCATCTGCTGCAGCAAAGCCCTGTCTCAGACAGCCTGCCAGTGATAAGGTGCTCTTAAACCAGCTTCTTTAGCGCTGCTTTAAAGGAGCACTCGAGTGCTTTTTGTAGAAACTTGCTTTTGATAGATATTGTTTGTTGGGCCTTAATTAGTAAAAACTGCCCATTCTAGATGGCAGCATGTCCTAGTAAACTTGCAGCAATAATAATATGCGGGCACTTTTCTCTCTTGGGGGGTGGGGGGTGATCCTCAGGTCGGATACCACCTACATAAAATTTGACCTATGAAATGAGTTAATTGCTCGGAGATTCTGAACATTCTCGTTATTGTTCTTTTTAGGCATGCTGTGTATTATATTTTGACAAAAACATAAAATCTTTGGTTGTAGGAGACATAATACAGCAATTCCTTAAAAACACTGTCCAATGGCGCCCCTTGCCGTCTGCTCCAAAGTGCAGAAAGGGGGGCGTGTCACAACCTTTGATTAGATATTTAACGGGAAAATCGGCCGCCGATGAGTGTAATTTCAGGTTTTTCAGGATGCTTAGAGACCATAAATTGAGTCATTACCATAAATAGACAATCTCTGAATCCACCAGGGTGCCCCTTTAAAAATGGCGCAAATGCATTGTCACATTTTTTTTTTTTTTCGGGCTTTTTTTTATAGGTTTAAGAAGAAAAAAAAACGCGCAGAGTGTACTCTGTACTGGGCACTTCATTTGTGTGTTTCTCAATGCGCTCTACAAGTTCTAGTTGAGACACACTCTACAAGTGTTTCTCAATGCGCTTTACGAGGTGCACTAAAGAAAAAAAATGTGAGCACTTTCATAAGATGCCTGCTAACATCATAAGTTTGGTGCAAGTTACGTTGCAATACCCTGTACACTTTATTTTTGCATTGCGAAAGTTAGTTTGCTTTTCTCACCTGGCCCCTGGTATTTGTACATGCCCAAAATGTGCTAAGAAAACAAACAAAGGGCAGCTTGAATGTGTGGGATTGCTATGCAGGTTCTCCGCCCAGCGGTCCAAGCCCAGTTGCTTTGATGACCAGAACTGCTGCACCTACATCAGATAGAAGGATGCAGACGAATGCTGACATACACAGTGGTATGTTTCTTCACCACGAATTTCCACTCTGTGCTCATATTCAGTCAATGATGTCTCTGTCAGGTTGAATCAATTGATAAACACCATATGCCAAAAGCTTCAAGTGTTGTACAGGGTGTCACATTTAGAAAAACTCAAAAGTTTTGTCAAGTTGTCAAAAGCACTCGTACAGGGAGGAAAGCTAGAGTGTTTTAGTTTTGCCTGTGCCATCAGACTCAAACTAGAAAATATTTTGAGAAAAACATTTTTTTTTTGACTGTGTAATGGTTGATCAGTCAGTATATTGTTGCTCAGAGCTTGCAGCATGTTCTTTAACTTTTTCTTTGATGCACATTCGGCATTGATAACACACAATCTATGGCAGGGGCCAGCAAACTTTGCTGTGTTAAAGGGATACTTCAACGAAATTAGAAACATACCTGTCGTGTTCAAAAATAGGTTGAATATGATCCACAATATCCGTAAAAGACAATCGCACATTTGTATTTTGAGTCTGGTGGTTGTATTTTTCGTTCCTAAACTGCCCACTCTGGCAAGTGCTCGAAGAGCACGTGACATCTGACGCAATTGTGACATAGTTCGTCTCGGGACGAGCAAAGCTGCGGCGAGGCTGACGTCGGGAGGATGTCCAAGTCGTTCCAGCCATCAGAGTGACTGCTTTTGTATCAATTTTGAGTAAAGGGTTAATCTTCCATAATCTTGTAAAGGGACAATAGTGACTTCTGGGTCATACAAAAGAGATTCTCGGGGAGAGGGAAGTTCCTCCTTCCCCTCTTTTCTTGTGGGGGCCGGATTGAGACAGCTACCGTCACTACCGGTAAAGGTTCCTAGACGGGCGTTACAAACGAGGCTTTAGCGACATCCACCAGGTGCTCTTTGCTTATCGTTTAATTCGTTTTAAAATTCCTTTTCGTGTCTTTTTTAACATGATATTGGTGTGTCCGATGTGATATTGCTCCTTTGAACACATATAGACCAAAAAATAAGTGCCGAAATTTTGTTGTAGTATCTCTTTAAAGGCTGCTCTTTGAAGCACAGTTTTGAAAACCGGAAACGATGGACGAAAAAGGTGGCAAGCACAAAATGTCTCAAACGCAGCTACAAAACTTTATTGGCTCAATCATATATATATACAATCTCCCCCACATGTCTCGGAAAATTAGCACATGCCTCCGTGACCATCATCTAGGGTACATTTAATCTTGACCTCCATTTGAACCAATAACCTTAACTAACCTCAAACCAATATCCTTATGAATAAAATTATAAAAGCAAAAAATGTTTGGGTTGCCCCATCTGGTGTGATTGACGGTTGACTTACCTATACAATTGCTTATGGAGCCACTCCTGATTGTCTTCTTCGGAACTTTTTTTGGCATATAATCATTTTCTTAGCTTAAAGGGAAGCTGAAAGACTTCTTTCACAAAGTGAGATAGAGGTTGATTTTAGCGTGGTAGTAAAAGTTCCTTTTTTGTTCTTTGTTCTTCGCGCTTCTCTGATGATGGTCCTCGGCATCTTCTGTTGGTGCCGCCGAGTCCAGGAGCCGTTAGATGGTTGGCGTCTTCCAAGGTGTTTATTAGTCCGAATAATTACTGGCTCTGTTCGTTCGTTACAAAAAGTCAGGGACCCGGCATCACTGCTGCGCGCGCCTCCAAGTCCGCGTGCGTGCCCAGCTCATACGCCAAAATCTCTCCTTCTCTCGCCCGACACGGGCCTTTGTAGGAAAGGTCCTCCTCTCCCTTTGGCCAGGACCGACCAATAATTTTGAAACAGAAGAGGATCACATGGTATACACCTGTCCAATAAACGTCCGAAAGTAAATATAATACCCCGTCAGTTCTCCAACCGCCAGAACCGAATTCCTCGTCTAATCGGCCCGTGCATTGTTCGCCGTCTGGCTGGCGCCTGAGTGCCGACTGCCCGGATCGGGTAACACGCGCGCTCCGAGCACTCGAGCGAACGCGTCGGGACCAAAAACAAATAATAAAAGAACACAGCACCGCCGGTGCGGCAGCCACATCGTATACGCCACGCGCTCCGAACACTCTAGCAGAATGCGTCGGGAGCAAAAACAATAAGAGAACACACACCCGCGGGCAAAACAGCCGCAACATGCACACTATTTACCGCGGCCTTACACCTCCCCTCTTAAAACTGTTACAGGGCTTCTAGAACTGTACACAGTAAAATTCACAAAAGGGCCGCATGAGTACAAAAGGAAACAAAATCTAGTCTTCTCTGCAGTACAGGCACTACGCAAAGAATAAAAAGCAAACAAAGCGGCTTAAACAAAAGTGTTTTGACAATCCTGCCTTGGAACGTTTCTAAAATGTATAAACAAAATGCTCCTAGCAAAGAAAATAAACACATCACTTGCTGAACAAGTCCCAGCAAGGGACTTGTTCAGCATTGGGGCACTAGCGATAATCCCAGCAGGATTATTGCTAGTGCCCCAATTACAGTTCCGAAGTCGGGAGAGCGCATTGGCATTGCCGTGACACGCACCCTTCCGGTGAGTTACGGACACGTCATACCTCTGCAAGGCGAGCGCCCATCTCACGAGCTTTGCGCCATGCGGCGTGCTACAGGTGAGGTAGCTTAGGGGATTATGGTCAGACACAACATGAATGCGGGCTCCAAACAACCAGTAGTCGAACTGTTTTAGCGCCTATATTATGGCGAAATCGCGCTCTATGGTCGACCAGCGGGTCTGGGTCGGGGTGAAGCGATGGCTGGCGAAAGCTATTGGTTTCTCGGCCCCATCCTTCCCGACTTGAGCAAGGCATGCACCGGCTGCCGTGGCGGACGCGACGGTGAAGAGCCAGTTTGGCTCGCGAGGTTCTGGTGTGTACAGTGCTACCGCGTTGCCTGACCCGATCCCGTGGCGTTGCGGCCACGGGATCGGGTCAGGCACTCCGTGCCTCGTTAGTGTAGTGAGCGGAGTAGCTATAGCGGCATACTTATTGACATACTCGCAGTAGTATGCACAGAGTCCGAGCACACTTCTGAGTTCTTTCTTAGTTTGTGGCCTTTTCCAAACCCCGGATTGCTGCCACTTTTTCTGGGTCAGGACCATGGCACCCAGAACCGACCATGTGCCCCAGGAACCGGATTGAACCCTGTGCGATTTGGCACTTCTCGGCGCTTATTTTCAGGCCCGCTGCCTGCAACAAACTGAAAATGATGTCCACATGTCTCACGTGTTCGTCCGAAGTGCGAGAAAATATGGCGATGTCGTCTAAGTACGCGGTGGCGTAGTCTTGGTGCGAGGACAGCAGCGTGTTCACCATTCGTTGGAAGGTGGCGGTGGCGTTCTTGAGCCTAAACGGCATCACCCGCCACGCGTATTGCCCCTCGTGCGTGACGAACGCCGTGAGGTGTTGGCTTTCGGGTGACATGGGCACCTGCCAATAACCGCACCGGAGGTCCACTACCGTTATGAATTGGGCGTGCCCAACCTTGTAGAGGAGTTCCTGCGCGTTCGTCATGGGGAATGCATCGGAACGGGTCGCAGCGTTCAGTTTGCGGTAGTCCACGCACAGGTGGACGGTCCCATCCTTTTTGGAGACGCAAACCACCGGATGCGCGAAGTCACTTTCTACGGGATAGATGAGCCCTAACTCTAAGAATTCGCTAATCTGTCGACTCACCTCCCCCTTAGTAGTTCCGGTACCCGGTAAGGATACGCTTTCTTAGGGTGGAAGCCTTCCTCCAGCTCAATCCGGTGTTCTCCCACGCTCGCTCTACCTGGTGTCCCGTCAAACAATGCTTCATGTTTCGAGAACACTTTTGCAACCGCCTCCCTGGCGTTCTTGTCCAGATGGGCCAGCCTCTCGGGGGCGAGATTTGTGCCGCCAGAGGAGGCTGGTCCCTTTCGGGGCGCATAGTCCACCTCACCGAAGTCTTCATCTTTGTGGAAAACGACACCGACGTGTCCAACCCTAGCGTAGTAAGGTCTGAGTCGGTTAGCATGCACTACCGTCGTCTTTTTCCCTTCCCTCTCGACTCTGTAAGAGTTCTGTCTTTTGCGCCCAATAACATCTAATGTCCCTATCCACCTGGCCGCAATCTTACTTGCTCGGTCTGTGTCGAAAAGTAGTACCTGATCCCTGACTTGGAATGTCTTGACGCGCGCAGTACGGTTGTATCTTTCTGCGTAGTTTCTCTGCTGCACACTAACTGTTAGCCCGGCGACTTCAGCGGCCACCTCCATCTGCTCGCGCAGCTGTCGTAAGTACTTTGCAGGTTCTTCTCTCAACCTGTCGGGCACGCTTACGTTGCCTGCCCAGGTGCGCTGGAGTATCGCAAGCGGTACGGTCGGGTTCCTGCCATAAAGCATTCGGAAGGGAGGGACCCCTGTCGTGTCGTGGGGCACTTCACGGTAGGCCCATAAGACGAACGGAACTAACTTGTCCCAGTTTCTGGAATCCCTCTCCATAACGTGAAACAGCATATTTTTCAGCACGCGGTTCCACCGTTCCACCGCTCCATTGCTTTCTGGGTGTTCTGGAGTGGAAAATCGCGGAGCGCATCCTAACTTTTCAAGCATCAACTGTGTCAGCTCTGCTGTAAAGTTCGTCCCTTGGTCTGAGTGGATGACCTCGGGCACGCCGGTGCGAGAAAAAATTTTGAGAAGGGCGTCACACGTGGCCCTCACTGTCAGAGAGCGTAGGCAAACGACCTCCGGCCAGCGTGTACAAAGATCTACCACGCACAAAGCGTACTTGTGGCCCCTTCCCGTCGAAGCGTCCATGGGACCAGTGACGTCGACATTGACGACCTGGAAAGGATGATCTGGTCTTGTCAACGGAGTAATGGGCACTCGGTCCCCCCGTCTTCTCTCAGAACGAGTCTGACATCCATGACATGTCTTGCAGTGTTCTGGAACGTCACGCTCGACTCCAGGCCAGTAAAAGCTGTATTTAATGCAAGCTTTTGTCTTTTTTGGTCCCAGATGGCCGCCCCACGGAGACTCGTGAGCCAGCTGCAGCACTTCCTC